AGAAACTAAAGTCCTAAACTAGTCCTAACTATGTCCCGATATCACATATCTTATTAGAGCACGCCCAACTGAAGTCTAAGCCTCATCACCAACATCCTCATGTTGATGATCACTTGCAACACAATTTAAACACATACAAAGAGCAACAAGGAAGTGAGAAACATCTCACTCAAGTTCAGGTGCAAAAATAAAGGTTAGATAACACACACACAACAAACATAATACAAGTCATAAGCACAAATTACATATAAACAATCCACATACACAATCAGTATCACATGCACACTCATTTATCATGCAATCATGTTAGGGACTCGACTTATAAATGCATGCATGTGGCACCAATCATATATCCCATATCATTGGTGCGCTGACTCAACAACACACCTAAGGTAGTCTCGGAGTACATGTAGAGAGCTACCCGTACACTCTCAACTAGAAGGATATACTGCTAGGGTTTGGTCAGGATAGTGAAGCTGCGCAAGTTATACGTCTCGTGCTCACAAACGGGCAGAATCGAGACATCCAAACCGCACTATCCCCTAGGACTCCCCCAAGCTGTTACACAAGGAGGACCTTCCCTAATGGTGTACTCCATATCATACTCAACACATAGATACACATGATACATGTCACACACATTCACACTTCATGGACTCATCACTTTACTTTTCATAGAATTTCATGTCTTATCTCATTTCATAATGTTTCACATTCTCATAGTCATAGTATTCACAATAGCACGTAATTCACACCATGTCACATGTCACTTGTTCACATCTCACCTTTCTCATCGTCATACATAAGATCATCATTTGGAGATTCTTGTCCTTATCATGCTCATAAAACACATTAGTTACGTTAATACAGTAATAAGGCAATTTCCACACAATTTTCACCTTCAAACAAGACATAAAACATATAAAACATCATAGGGATCATGCTCAACACGCCCCAACTCGCGCTCGGCGCATTAAATGCTGCACCAAAATTAGCAGAGCATCACGCCCGGCGCGCCTGAGCACGCCCAACGAATTAAATGTCGCACCTAAAGCGGAGAAATTTTCCCGGTGAAACTTTCCTGAGCTCGACTTAAAGAATTTTTGCCTGGCTTAACTGTTAAGCCCGACTTAAAAAAACTAAGCCTAGTTTAAAAGCTACGGCCAATGCCCCAACACGAACCTGCATTACTTAACTTCGCGAAATCTTGCGTATTTCACAACCAAACACGCAATTATAGCATTCAATCAGTAAAAACACTTCAAATAACACCCATATCACAAATCCATACCCAATTTTATGCAAACTACCTCAAATCTTGTCAAAAGATCATATCCCTAATTATTTCTCATAGGGTTTATCACAGAGCATTCTAATTCATATAAAAACTTATCTAATTTCAAAATCAAACACATATTCATGCATCACATCCAACCAGAAACCCAACAAAAAACTCAGATATTAAAATAGAAAACTTTCATAATTTTCCTATTCCTAAAACATGCATCAAGCAAGGGATTAGGGGTTAATCCTGCTACCCAACAATTATTCCCACACTCTCAAGTGAGGTTTCTCACTCCCCCTTACCTTGATGAATAGAAGATGAAGCACGAGCGAAATCAGGTTGATTCTCTTCTTCAAGTTCTCCTTGGTCTTTAGAGAGCGTAGAAAGAAAAATGAAGTCAGAAGTGTAAAATGATTTTGGTAGCCTCAGGTAACTTCCTAACAATGGATAACTTCTTTCTTAATAAATAAATAAATAATAAAATAAATCATTTATCAAAACGTCCTTCCTTTCTTTCTCATAAAAATAAATAATAATTAAAATATACTCATTCTTTAATAATCAACATAAACATAAGCATACATATTAATAAAATACATTTTATAAAATGTCTCCTACTTCACTAATTAAAAATGATAATAACAAATCATGTTTCATAAATGAAATAGAGCTCATATAATTAATTAAATAATATCAAAACTCTAAAATAATTACATTAAATATCGACTTTTGAAGAAATTAACCTTGAGACCTGCTACTAACTCAAACAACTGTAGAATAGCTTTAATACCCCAACCATTATTCAGAGTAGCATCGCCCACTAGGATGGTATCATCAACCATATTGTAGATGTGATACTGGCATTGCATCCCCACCAACCATATAGCCTATAAACACACATTCCTGAACTGCTTTAGACATTAAAGAAGACAACCCTTCTACAACAATAAAATAAATAAAAGGAGCCAGTAAGTCTCCTTGTCTCAACCCTCTACCAACTCTAAACTCACTAGATGGACTTCCATTCACAAGAACAAACACTCTAGTAGTGGCTAAACACTCTGCTATCCACCTCCTCCACAAAATTGGAATCCTCATTTTTTCCATAACAAACAAAATATGCTCCCAATTAACATAATTATAAGCCGTCTCAAAATCAACCTTAAACAGTAAACATTGTTTTTTCTTTCTTTTTGTCTCTTCTAGAATTTTATTGGCAATCAAGATGCTATCAAGAATTAGCCGTCCTTAATATTTCTATATATCATTATTATATATCATATTAATTTCTATATATCATTATTATATATTTGATTTTTCAAAAGAATAGTTTCGTTTACTTTTATATTTGTATTAATATTTAGTTAATAAAATTAAATGTCATTAATAAATTTGGTCACAAAATGACTATGATTTAAGATTTTTACACATTCATATATTAAGAAGCACAATATATCACTTTTAGATATAATTTGACTAGAGAAATATGTAAACACATTACTTTTAATTATGGTGATCGAAGAATTTATGATTAGGCAAATTAATTTTCTTTTTATATTATATATTGAAAATTTAGAACATAAGTCATTTTGTGATTTTTTTTCAAATATTATAACTGCAATCATTTTGAGATGCAAGGAGTATTTTTTAAACAAAATTTTCCAAATGTATTACTTATAAAAATGTGTACTTTTATATAAAATTGTAATATAATAGCATTAAATGCTACACTATCAAAGGTTATATATACATAAAAATTTGGAATTGGGTATATATATCAGTGTCATCATAAAAAAAAATGTTCAGAAAAAAAAACGGTGGAACAAAGGTTGCCAAACATGCAATAAAGGAAGAAAAATATAAATAGCTACCAGTCAAATTGAAGACCATAAATATGTGGACATTTATTAACTAGTCAAAACGATACCAAATGCGTACTAAAGGACGGCAAATATATTAATATTAATATTATTCGCTTGAAAAACCAATAGTCATTCTCGTTAAGAGTTCATTTTCTTTTTATATATGAGCTTTAAGAGTTCATCTGTATCTGTGCCTTTTGTTCTTTCGTGCTGAATGGAACTGCTGTTTATAATTTTATATATACATATGTTTGCTTTTTTGACTAAATGAACGTTCCTGCAAAATTTGACTAAATCAATTTTGTACAATTTGGTATTTCTGAAATGAGACCTTCTATATAGTGGGAATGCAAAAGGCACGATTAGTACGAAAAGTACACAAAAAGTTAGAAAAAATAAATACATTAGACGAAGTTTTGACAGAACTCAGCCTGTTCATGTGTTTTTATACGTAAACCATGCATTGCATATGAAGAATACAATTTTTCTTCTTCAATACAAATACCAACTAATACATGGAACTTTATTAGCCAGTCAGAACACGAATTTTAGAAAAGTATGATGAAGAAGTATTCAGACTAAGATGTGAACGTAAATTAATAATACGCAAAAACTTGTAAAAGAAGAAATGGTATTTTTTTTGGGATAGTTATGTTATTTGTGTAAAATATCTACTATTTTTTTGAATAATTAATTTATATTTGAAAATGTAACTGATCATCGATCTGTATAGTAATTTTTTTTTTCTTAATTATGTTTTTTTAAAAAAAATTCAAGACATGAATAGATCTAATTTTAGTTTTAGTTAGATCATAACTACTTTTTTTTCTTGTTGAGGACAGATCAACTACTTGTTAAGAAATAGTAAATTCACATTTTTCAATTAGGATCTTTATACTAGTGAAAAGTAGGATTAGGTCCATTTTTATTATTTTACTATCTTTAGGTTATATATATATATATATGAATATGTTCAAATATTATTTTTAATCAGTTAAATAAGGTAAAAGATACCTACGTCTTCTCAAATTTAGAAAACCATTTTTTAAAATAAATAATTATACACTTAAGAAATGGTAAATTATTTATTTTGTTAAAAAATATTTTTTCTTAAAAAAAATTACACAAAAGGATTTATTGCCGTAGTTAGAAGTCACGAGATTAATATTCCGAAGAAAGTATCATTTAAGAGACAATTTATTTTCCCACATGTTTCTCTATTTGTATAGTCAAGAATCCGTCGTATGCATACTTAAATAACTCATGTTATCCACTTATATACATACCACACCTAGTAAAGGAGATATATTTCTTATAATAATATAAAGTTGTCTAAATTTCAACAACATAATTTCGTATGTCATAATTGTTAAAACAGAAACTTTCAACATTTCTCATAATAATCTTAGGTGAATTAAGAGAAGTTTGTACATAGCCGATATATAAGAATTATATAGATAGCAATTCGTTATACTTCAAGAAATATTCTATTAATGAAGTTAGTTGGACACTAAAAAATTTGTTTGGATATAATTTAAAACTACTTTTAAGAGTATGTCTTCTATATATCTATATATATATATATATTTTATAGAGAAATTTTCATAATCACTTTTAAACTTATATCTGATGAATAGAGTATAATTATTCTTTTAAAGAATAGAAATCATCAAACTGTTTTGTCTGTTAGCATGGTTAAGAAAGTCAGTACTACATTGTTGGTCTAATATTGCGACAGATATATATCTCGTAAATAAATCCATATACATTATACAATAAAGCCATGCATGTGGGAGTAACTATATATATCACAGTGGGGGCATATGAGAAGATTAATACAATTGGCCACAGAATCAATAGAAACCAACCCAAATACAACATGAACATTCCAACCGTGTTAGCTTTACCATATCCAGCTCAAGGGCATGTCAATCCCATGATGACCCTCTCACAGAAGCTGGTAGAGCATGGTTGCAAAGTGCTTTTTCTGAACACCGACTTCAACCATAAGCGAATGTTGAGTTCCGTGGTGGAGCTACAAGAAGGCCTTGATGATGAATCACTATTGAAGTTGGTTTCAATCCCCGATGGCTTAGGACCTGATGATGACAGAAACGATCAGAGGAAGCTATGTGAAACTATTCCAAGAACCATGCCTGCAGCACTTGAGAAGTTCATAGAGGATATTCATGTCAAAGGTGACCACAGAATAAGCTTCATTGTTGCAGATTTGTGCATGGCATGGGCGTTAGATGTTGGGGCTAAACTGGGAATTAAAGGAGCTGTGTTGTGTCCTGGATCAGCAACTCTTTTTGCCCTGCTGTACAACGTCCCTAGGCTTATTCACCATGGGATCATAGATTCTGATTATGGTAAGAATATCATACTGGTTTCAAAGACAATTTTTGAGAATTAGCTTATAATTAAAAATGTTTATTTCATTTTTTTTTCTCTTTAAAGTAGTTTTGAAAAAGTTTATGCGTACCTTACTATATATCCAAATTTGTTAGGTTCTGTTTACTCATGAAAAATCAAGTGATATAAGAAAAACGAATTTAATGTATCTCAGTACTTTGGAAGGTAAAAAATAACATTTCGCTAATAGAGTAATGATTTTTGGTCACTTTACATTTATAAATACAGCTTACTTATACGGTTATACCCATCATTTCTTATTATCACACTCAATTCTTCTTATCACATCGATCATATCATCTATCATATTTGTATTTTTTTTCTCTTTTGTCTCCCACTTTTTAGGTATCAAATAGGTTTTTAAGTGTCAAAACATCATTTTGCTAAATCTTATCGATCAAAGTTTACAGCATAAAAGTCTTACGATATATATATATATATATATATATATATATATATATATATTTTATGTAATTGTACGAGATTAACACCTGGAATTAAGAAAGAAAATGTTATCATGTTACAATTTTTATCAACTTTGTTCAAATACTCACAGCAAGTATATTACTTTTTATAATTTTGTTATTGATGCAAAATATTTATTAATTAATTTTATCAATAATTAATTTTAATCAAAAAATTTGACACGACATTTTTAACGGGATCTTCCCTCACAATATAAATGTACATAAATACATAATGAAAAGTATAATAAGCATCAGGAACACTCTTTTTAGATGTAAAAAGTGTTCTTATATAAAAGGAATCACACCACATAACTAAAATCATCATGCATATAGACTGAATACCTGTGCCTATTGATTGAAACATAATAAATAACAATTAATATGTGGTATATTACAACTTAATATTTTCTTTTCTTAATATTTTTTGGTCTTCCATTGAAGGATTAGCATTAACCACGAAAAAGACAATGCGGATATCACCAAGTATGCCAGAAATGGACACGAGAGACTTTTTTTGGTTGAATATGGGTGACCCAATTATTGGTAACACAGTTGTGGACTATTTAGTGCACTGTACACGAAGTTTACATTTGACAGAATGGTGGCTTTGCAACACCACACATGAACTTGAACCTGGCACATTATCCTATATTCCCAAGATCCTCCCAATTGGCCCTTTGTTGAGAAGTCATGATAACACAAGTGCTAGTGCAACTACAAAACCAATGGGAATGTTTTGGGAAGAAGATCTCTCCTGCATGAGTTGGCTCGATCAACAACCTCATCGTTCTGTCTTGTATGTTGCCTTTGGTAGTTTCACTCTTTTCAACCAAACTCAATTCAATGAACTAGCTCTTGGATTAGACCTCACCAATAGACCTTTTCTTTGGGTTGTACGTCAAGACAATAAGATGGTATACCCTAATGAATTCTTGGGGAGTAAAGGTAAGATTGTTCGTTGGGCTCCTCAACAGAAGGTGCTGAGTCACCCTTCCATAGCATGTTTTGTGACCCATTGTGGTTGGAATTCTATTATGGAAGGTTTGTCCAATGGGGTTCCTTTGTTGTGCTGGCCATACTTCGCAGACCAACTTCATAACAAGACGCATATTTGTGATGAGTTGAAGGTTGGACTGGGATTTGACTCAAATGAAAATGGACTCGTGTCATGCAAGGAGTTAAAAATGAAAGTGGATCAACTCCTTAATGATGACAACATAAAATCAAGGTCTCTTGGGTTGAAGGAGAAAGTCGTGAACAGCATAACCAAAGGAGGTCGTTCTTTAGAGAACCTGAATAGGTTTGTCAAGTGGCTAAAAGAATAAGCATTAAAATTTTGTTCACGTTAGTTATGCAACTAAGAGAAAACAGACATTGAACATATAATTAGACCATGATGTCCGACACTGAAGATGGTTTTGATTCTTGAACATTACACTTTAACAAGTTTTTATAGTTGAAATGTTTTCAGGGTGTTTTATTTATTTATTTATTTATTTTTATTTGTTTAATTGAGTCGTGAAAATGTAGTTATTTGCTTTTTTATTTAAAGAACAATTTATTCTGGGTTTGGATTTGTTTAATTGTTCTATTGTGAACATTTATATGTATATGGATCGTCAATATATAATTCATGCAGTCATTTATATGTATACATAGTATGTGTTAGAAAATCCTATTAATCTGTTTTTCGTACAATAATTTTTTATTCAAACAATTTTGGTTAGGCGTATTGTTTTTTATTAAATAAAAATTTGTACCGAAAGCTTATGCTATCAATAAAGTATAAACCAAGGATTAATTCAACAATCCTTGACCTATAATGCATGCAGTCATGTTCTCCAAGTAATGCTTATGCACTTACAAATAGGTAAGGGTCCTTACCGAACCCTTCAAGTTCCTCTTTGTATTCTGGATTGCAAAAGTTCACCGACTGCAAAAGTTTCAGAATTATTGTGTTTTGCATTAGGATGAGAAATGGCTGAATCAAATAATTATTTTTTTAGATGATTATAATAGATCATATAAAAATAATTTATTTAAATTTATTAAAATCTCATAAAAATTTAATCTATCCAATTTATTTAAAGTAAAATATTCATCTATTAACAATTTTTTTATGAATGAATATTTAATCAATCCATAAAATTAATGCTATAAAATTAAATAATTTTATTTATAATATTTTATTTTTCTCTTTTTTTATTTATAAGTTATTGTATTTATATATAATCTTTTAAAACTTGCAAGACTACTTTTTATGTCAAAATAATCTTTTAAAATTTCAATTAAATGAATATCTCACATTGTAATCTAATGAATTTTGAATAAGTAGTGGATAAATTACTAATATACATAAAATTAAGTGGATGGATTAGATTCTAATTAATTATTTATTTTTATTATAATGGATGAATTGGATGAATTTATTTATGGATGGATAAATGGATTGATTACTACAAGAAAATGGTGAATAAGCGGCGGAAAATAAGCGTCGATTAATAGCTGACGCAAATAGTGTCGGAAAAGTCGACGCTATTTTAAATATAGTGTCAGTTTTTTCGACACTAATTTAATTTAAATTTAAAGTAAATTAGTATCGAAAAATCCGACGCTATATTTAAAGAATAGCGTCGGCTTTTCCGACGCTAAATTTAAAATATTTAATTTAAATTTATTTTAAGTTTAGCATTAGAAAAGTCGACGCTATTATTTAAATATAGCGTTGGCTTTTTGATACTAATTTAATTTAAATTTAAATTAAATTAGTGTCAAAATTTAAATTAAATTAGTGTCGGAAAAGCCAACGCTATATTTAAAGAATAACATCGGCTTTTCCGACACTAAACTTAATTTAAATTTAGTAATGAAAAAGCCGACGCTACATCTTAAAATAACGTCGGCTTTTCTGATAGTATAGGTACTTTGAGAGAGATAAAGATAATTTTTTCAATGTTATATACGCATAATGTGTTCTGGTACACTTGGTTATCAAGTTCACTTAAGACCTCAAGGTTCACGGATCGAGTCCTAGGAATGTTAAAAATACGAACGAATAAATGATAAGCTGGAAAAAGAAGATAAAGAAAAAAATAAAATAAATTTTGTGTCAACATAGTGTCGACTTAATCGACAATAAAAAATTAAAATAAATAAATTTATTAGTGATGGCTTAGCCGACACAAAAAAAATTTGTGTCGACTTATTTAGCGTTAGCCAAAAATTGATGAATAACCGACAATATTACATCGGTTTTTATGATTTAGAGTCGGTTTTTCGCCGACTCTAAATCAAAACATTCTTGTAGTGGATTTATCACCCTTAATCAAATTTAGGGATGGAAAATGGATGGATCGAATAAGTTTTTAGGCGAATCATAATGGATTCGATAAAAATAGTTCATTAATCTATTTAGATCCATTAAAAATTTACATAAAAATTGAATCCATACAATCCATTTAAAGCAAAAAAATTCATTTAATCTATCAATTAACAATTTTTTTATGAATAGAAATCCAATCCATCCATTAAATTAATTTTTTTAAAATTGAATAATTTTTATTTTTATAATTTTATTTCTCTTTTTTTTTTCCTTATAAGTTATTATATTTTTATATAATCTTTTAAAATTTGCAAGATTTTTTTATGTTAAAATAATCTTTTAAAATCTCAATTCAATAAATATCACATTTGAAAAAATAATAGATAGATTACTAACCATCCATAAAATTAAGAAGATGGATTAGATCTGACCCATTATCAATTTTTATTATAATAGATGGATTGGACGGGTATTGGATAGATGGATCGATTTGCTACCTTTAGTCAAACTTAGGGATGACAAATGGATGGATTGGATAATAATATATAGATTGGATAAAAAATAATCTATTAATTCATTTAGATCCATTAAAAATTTGCATAAAAATTCAATCTACCAAAAAAATTCATCCAATCTATCCATTAACAATTTGTTTATGAGTGGATATCCAATCAATCCATAAAATTAATATTTCGAAAGTTAAATATTTTTTTTATAACATGTCATTTCTCTTTTTTTTTTTCTTTATAAGTCATTATATTTTTATATAATCTTTTAAAATTTGCAAGACTTTTTTTCATGACAAAAGTCTTTTAATTTTGCCACCCCTAATTCTCACCAATAGTTTGGTGATAATTGATATTCTACATTACTCCATAATTATTTTGTCCATTGATTCTAAAAGAATATTCATTCCTCCCTTTAAATTTGAAGAGCCATCAACAAAAAAAGCACATCTTTATTCTTGCTCTCTTACCTTAAACAAAGTTCGACTATAAAATTTGTTTGTTGCGGGTTGCATCAATTGTCCCGTGGCGGAGGCTAGGTGGGCCAAGTCACTGTCGAATCATGGCGCTTGGGCTGCTGCGCTCTTAAGTAAAAAGAGTTGCGCCCTGACTATCAGCTATAGCTTTT